ACAAAACAGCTGTATGATGTAGCATCACTGACGAGTCATAGAAGGACAAAACAGCTGTATGATGTAGCATCACTGACGAGTCCTAGAAGGACAAAACAGCTGTATGATGTAATATCACTGACGAGTCATAGAAGGACAAAACAGCTGTATGATGTAGCATCACTGACGAGTCATAGAAGGACAAAACAGCTGTATGATGTAACATCACTGACGAGTCATAGAAGGACAAAACAGCTGTATGATGTAGCATCACTGACGAGTCCTAGAAGGACAAAACAGTTGTATGATGTAACATCACTGACGAGTCCTAGAAGGACAAAACAGCTGTATGATGTAGCATCACTGACGAGTCCTAGAAGGACCGAACAGCTGTATGATGTAACATCACTGACGAGTCCTAGAAGGACCGAACAGTTGTATGATGTAACATCACTGACGAGTCCTAGAAGGACAAAACAGCTGTATGATGTAACATCACTGACGAGTCCTAGAAGGACCAAACAGCTGTATGATGTAACATCACTGACGAGACCTAGAAGGACAAAACAGCTGTATGATGTAACATCACTGACGAGTCATAGAAGGACAAAACAGCTGTATGATGTAACATCACTGACGAGTCATAGAAGGACGAAACAGCTGTATGATGTAACACCACTGCCGAGTCCTAGAAGGACAAAACAGCTGTATGATGTAACATCACTGACGAGTCATAGAAGGACAAAACAGCTGTATGATGTAACATCACTGACGAGTCCTAGAAGGACAAACAGCTGTATGATGTAACATCACTGACGAGTCATAGAAGGAGGAAACAGCTGTATGATGTAACATCACTGACGAGTCATAGAAGGACGAAACAGCTGTATGATGTAACATCACTGACGAGTCCTAGAAGGACAAACAGCTGTATGATGTAACATCACTGACGAGTCCTAGAAGGACAAACAGCTGTATGATGTAACATCACTGACGAGTCCTAGAAGGACAAAACAGCTGTATGATGTAACATCACTGACGAGTCCTAGAAGGACAAAACAGCTGTATGATGTAGCATCACTGACGAGTCCTAGAAGGACAAAACAGCTGTATGATGTAACATCACTGACGAGTCATAGAAGGACAAAACAGCTGTATGATGTAACATCACTGACGAGTCCTAGAAGGACAAAACAGCTGTATGATGTAACATCACTGACGAGTCCTAGAAGGACAAAACCTCTGTATGATGCTGTTTATTTCATTATTTGGCTCTAGTGCATCTTACTCTAAATTTGTATCTGTCTATGCGATTTACTGGCATGCCTTTTGTGCAAGGTTCGAGATTGCGATATTACACTTGTCGAAATCTAATCACGTTCTGTTAGGGATTGTCTGCCAATTTGTATTGAAATAAATGATACTGATATGACTGATATATAATTTGTGGTTCTAAGAGGAACATACAATGTAAAGGGATACAGAAAAAACAAACAAAAGAAACATGCTCTTATATATTTTAATCATTTATAATTACAACTGAAAAATCAATGCAAATCAATTGGAGAGTTCATGTATTAGATTTAATGTATTGCATCAACGCTGTGTCGGGATCCTTTGCAGTTTAGTCTTTCTAGATGATCAAATCTAGCAGGAACCATCACTGACTCTCTTAGCACCACTGTTAATATATTGATATTATAACTGGTTACATAAACCAAAGTGTAACGCTACCTTAATACAAAATGCTACTACTTACGAAACTTTCAAACACATTTAACGTCCACTTATTTTGAGACATTAGGTATAGAGGATCAGTACGATGTTATTCATAGATGTTATATAGGGGAAACCTAAATTAGTAAAACACAACACTATGGTAATATATAGGGAAACCCAAATTAGTTATATGTATGTAAGTCCAGGGAACAGCTATTTTTACTTCCTGTTATATGTATGTAAGTCCAGGGAACAGCTATTTTTACTTCCTGTTATATGTATGTAAGTCCAGGGAACAGCTATTTTTACTTCCTGTTATATGTATGTATTTCTCCACTGCAAGACTTCTCATGTCTTCATTAATATTCTATTATAGTGAATTTCATTATATATTTGTCGTATTATTAGCAGATAATCCATCAACGCAACGTATTGACGTAAAATACGGGAATGAAATGAAGTCACAGAATTAATATGAAATAACTTTGCAGAAGACCTGATACTGATACTGCTGCAATGGGAATTCAAGATTGAAAAGTCGCCATAACTGACATTCTTCACCTTAATTTCGTTCATTCTCTTAAACAGTATTATTGTAGTTTTATTCCACATTTAATGTTACCTTCTACAAAATAAATAAAAATAATTGAATAAGTATTCATATGATAATCTGAATTGTTATGTTCATTACCATAACGACCATAATACAACTGATCTGAGTACATAGTTATCAAAATAGATGAATTGACAACATGGGGACGTTTGTCCAAGTTTGTTAAATACTGACTTCGAGTGGTGAGGACAAATATGGAATTATCTTTTCACGAAGAAACCGTTTACTATTTTGGCCATTTTACTTTGACCATACAATGCTGTAATCCAGACACGTTGGAAATCTTTTGAAAGGTAACATAGATCATAGCATACACATGTACCAGATGCCTTTCCCCGTCATCATGCATTATGTAAATTTAGTGATTTTTTAATAATAAATTACTCATCGATGTTTTGACAGCGATGGCGAGCATTTTGAACTTCCCCAAGAGGTCTCCTAAGTGTGAAAAATATTAGGCCCCTAGCATCACTGTCGGGTCGTGTAATTATTTTGAGGCTAAACTATACCTTGCTCTAATTTTGTATTGAAATATTTTATGTTCATGTGTATGTAAATCTGATTTTGCAAGCGGTAGGACTTTTCTCGGGCCTCAAAGCGACATACTTACACACACTCCATTTCGCATTCGTTGCTATACGTGTTCCCGTCGTCTCCACACACTGGTTGATAGATGAAGGGACAAGGACATGGTGTTGTTGGTGACGGGCACGCTCCATCTGATATTTTCGTTACGCCATCCCTTAGATTAAAAGCAAGTTTATGTATTAGAATATAAACAAGATCAATTTTGTTTCATAATCATTATCTTTCCGTTAACGAAATGGAAAACCTTCTGTGTCGTTTATTTCTATCTGATGCATATAGATTCAGTGTTGTTACACAATTGGCAATTTATGCCGTTACAGCATTGTCCTAATACAAATAACTATATATGGAAGTATTACACAAAGTATTGGGTGTGAATATTAGACTTTTTTGTTTGTTTGTTTCCTCTACCTTTCAGGAAGTATATGATAATGAACAATTATGTCTTGTATAACACAAAAACTACACGGTGGTGTTGGGTACGCTCCGCCTGTAACTTTGGTCACGTTACCCGTCGGTTGTGATATATACCAGATGGAATAAATCCTAAAAAAAGTTCAATTCACATACAGTCATATCAGCTATCTTCCAAACATTCAATTAATACTGATTTTGAGTATTTAGGACAATTATGGTAATTATCATTTCATGAATAAATCGTCATATTTTTTGTCATTTTATGTTGACCGTACTATGCCGTAAATCCCGCTTCCACGCTTCGTTTCAAAACTTAGTGTGAAAGCGTCACTGACGAGCCGTGGAAAGATGAAATACCTGTGTTGCAATTTATTCATATAGATAGTATTACATTTGGTACTAAATTTGTATTTAAAGATGTTATTTCCTTGTGAGTCTTTCATAATGAAATGGAAGGTAGGCTTTTTTTTTGCACCGAAAAAACGACATACTTACACACACTTCATTGCGCATTCATTGCTGTAGGTTATATCGTCATCTCCACACACGGGCTGATAGTCCAAGGGACAAGGACATGGTAGTGGTGGTGGTGTTTGGCATGGTCCGTCGGATACTTTCATCACCCCAACCCTAGCATGTGCCAATGTAATAACTTAAAATCTAAATATGTGTTCAATTTATCATTCATCATATTCTGTAACTGTTATATTCAACAATGAACTTTCTTTGTAGTCAAAATTGATATTGTCCGTGAAATTTAAGTAGCAAATTTAGGCCGATATGGCATTGGCATTTTTACCTTATATTTCAAGTACGAATTTAATTTCAATTAATGAGCGTACTTCGAATTGGGTAAAAATTAGCATTATATTCATGAGGAGAACAAACGGTTGTCAAGATTATTCTGCATTTAAGCAAGTATATCATTAATAAACAGCTGACTTGTATCAGTACAGGTCGAAATTCTTAAAAAAGAGTTAATTTTATATTCGTTGTTATACACATATATATCCTAGTACAAATACAGGGTGGAGGCGAGCACTTTCCACCACTGTACAACTTCTTTGGATTGTGAGAGAGTTAGCTACACACCCACGTACTTTCTTTCCCAAAATGATCATCAAATTTTGGATTGGATGGAATTCTAGGTGCACCTACTAATAAATAATTTACAGTAATTTCGACCAACATGGAATTCGCTCTGTCACGTCGGTGTTATTTCCTTGTGTGTCTTTTCTGAAATCCTTTGAGATTACCAGATGTTAACCATGCTGGTGAAGCTATGTCCAAAAACATTTTTCAAACATTCAGTTCAATCGGTTTTCCGTCAGGTAAGATTACTAATTCACCTTTCTCAAACAATACAATGATTCAGTATTTGTCCAAATCTAGACATTTGATCAACTTAACACTGATCATATCCAGTACCGAAGTTTCTTTTTTGTTCAATCTGATTTCATCATGGAGTTCAATTGGCGAAACATCACTGTTGTGACATTGGACCACTTTCGTCGATATGATATTGACGTCATTTAAATATATTTTAAGATTAAAACATGCTTCGTAATGAGTGAGATTAGCGTTTTATTTGATTGATATATAGAACAGTTTTCACTCTTTTTTGACATTTTATGAAGTATGTGATGAATGAAGAGTTCTACCTAATATCAGGTATACGAAATACTTACGAACAATTCATTTCACATTCGTTGCTATATGTTTTCCCGTCGTCTCCACACACGGGCAGATATATCCTGGGACAAATACACGGTGTTGGCGGGCACTCTCCATCGGACACTTTGGTCACGCCACTCCTTAGATTAAACGCAATCAATTAAAATCTAAAACACTTGATCAGTTTATCACTTATTATAATAATCAAGCATATCTTTATCATATGAAAGGAAGAACTTCTAATGAGCTTACTTCGTATTCGATGAGATTAGTATATCATTTAAAATATTATACAGTTTTCGCGGTTATTTGACTTTTCATGAAGTTTTTGATAAATGAACGGTTCTGTCTAGTATCAGACAGAACGGAACACTTACGAACACTTCATTTGGCATTCGTTGCTGTATGTTTTCCCGTCGTCTCCACACACGGGCAGGTATATCATGGTACAAATACACGGGCACTCTCCATCGGACACTTTGGTCACGCCACTCCTTGAATGTGAAATATGCTAAATGAAACAAACGCGGAACTAATGTTGCCATACAGACACGACATCTGCTAACGTTTCAAACTGAGGTTTTAGTATTGAAGACAATAATGGAATTATCATTTCACGAATGAATCGTCTAGTGCTTCTGTCATATGATTTGTCTGTAATATAACATAATCAAGCATGCCACGATTGAACTTAATGTGGCCCATTTTATAGAAAACATATGTACCAGATATATTCACTCACATCCATTCACTATGCACATTTATAAAATTTGGGGTTTATTGCCTACTCGTCGATATTTTGACAGTGATTCGACCAATCTGGATTTCCGTCAGACGCCTCCTAAATGTACACAACGTCTTCATACGATAATAAATTTCAAAAGCAACATAACGGTTTCAAAAACATTCTTCAATTTTACCTCCCATTCATACATGAATATCATTTTGAGATTTCAATAAGGTATGATTACTTTTTCACCTTTCTCAAACAAAACAATGATCCAGTATCTGTCCAAATCTAGACTTTTGATCAACTTAACACTGATCATATCCAGTACCGAAGTTTCTTTTTTGTTCAATCTGATTTCATCATGGAGTTCAATTGGCGAAACATCACTGTTGTGACATTGGACCACTTTCGTCGATATGATATTGACGTCATTTAAATATATTTTAAGATTAAAACATGCTTCGTAATGAGTGAGATTAGCGTTTTATTTGATTGATATATAGAACAGTTTTCACTGTTTTCGACATTTTATGAAGTATGTGATGAATGAAGAGTTCTACCTAATATCAGATATACGAAATACTTACGAACAATTCATTTCACATTCGTTGCTATATGTTTTCCCGTCGTCTCCACACACGGGCAGATATATCCTGGGACAAATACACGGTGTTGGCGGGCACTCTCCATCGGACACTTTGGTCACGCCACTCCTTAGATTAAACGCAATCAATTAAAATCTAAAACACTTGATCAGTTTATCACTTATTATAATAATCAAGCATATCTTTATCATATGAAAGGAAGAACTTCTAATGAGCTTACTTTGTATTCGATGAGATTAGTATATCATTTAAAATATTATACAGTTTTCGCGGTTATTTGACTTTTCATGAAGTTTTTGATAAATGAACGGTTCTGTCTAGTATCAGACAGAACGGAACACTTACGAACACTTCATTTGGCATTCGTTGCTGTATGTTTTCCCGTCGTCTCCACACACGGGCAGGTATATCATGGTACAAATACACGGGCACTCTCCATCGGACACTTTGGTCACGCCACTCCTTGAATGTGAAATATACTAAATGAAACAAACGCGGAACTAATGTTGCCATAAAGACACGACATCTGCTAACGTTTCAAACTGAGGTTTTAGTATTGAAGACAATAATGGAATTATCATTTCACGAATGAATCGTCTAGTGCTTTTGTCATATCATTTGTCTGTAATATAACATATTAAAGCATGCCACGATTGAACTTGAAGTGGCCCAGTTCATAGAAAACATATGTACCAGATATATTCACTCACATCCATTCACTATGCACATTTATAAAATTTGGGGTTTATTGCCTACTCGTCGATATTTTGACAGTGATTCGACCAATCTGGATTTCCGTCAGACGCCTCCTAAATGTACACAAGTTAGACCCATAGTCACCAATTAGCCGTAAAAGATAACACACATGTATGATGCGATTTAATTCACTTCAGGCTATGTTGTATCTGATCCCAAATTTGTATTGAAATGTACTATTTCCTCGTGTATCTTTTGTACAATCCTTTGAGATCACCAGAGGAAAACCATACTGGTAAAGTTATGTTCAGTTTCAACACTCAACGTCTTCATACGATAATAAATTTCAAAAGCAACATAACGGTTTCAAAAACATTCTTCAATTTTACCTCCCATTCATACATGAATATCATTTTGAGATTTCAATAAGGTATGATTACTTTTTCACCTTTCTCAAACAAAACAATGATCCAGTATCTGTCCAAATCTAGACATTTCATCAACTTAACACTGATCATATCCAGTACCGAAGTTTCTTTTTTGTTCAATCTGATTTCATCATGGAGTTCAATTGGCGAAACATCACTGTTGTGACATTGGACCACTTTCGTCGATATGATATTGACGTCATTTAAATATATTTTAAGATTAAAACATGCTTCGTAATGAGTGAGATTAGCGTTTTATTTGATTGATATATAGAACAGTTTTCACTGTTTTCGACATTTTATGAAGTATGTGATGAATGAAGAGTTCTACCTAATATCAGATATACGAAATACTTACGAACAATTCATTTCACATTCGTTGCTATATGTTTTCCCGTCGTCTCCACACACGGGCAGATATATCCTGGGACAAATACACGGTGTTGGCGGGCACTCTCCATCGGACACTTTGGTCACGCCACTCCTTAGATTAAACGCAATCAATTAAAATCTAAAACACTTGATCAGTTTATCACTTATTATAATAATCAAGCATATCTTTATCATATGAAAGGAAGAACTTCTAATGAGCTTACTTTGTATTCGATGAGATTAGTATATCATTTAAAATATTATACAGTTTTCGCGGTTATTTGACTTTTCATGAAGTTTTTGATAAATGAACGGTTCTGTCTAGTATCAGACAGAACGGAACACTTACGAACACTTCATTTGGCATTCGTTGCTGTATGTTTTCCCGTCGTCTCCACACACGGGCAGGTATATCATGGTACAAATACACGGGCACTCTCCATCGGACACTTTGGTCACGCCACTCCTTGAATGTGAAATATACTAAATGAAACAAACGCGGAACTAATGTTGCCATACAGACACGACATCTGCTAACGTTTCAAACTGAGGTTTTAGTATTGAAGACAATAATGGAATTATCATTTCACGAATGAATCGTCTAGTGCTTTTGTCATATCATTTGTCTGTAATATAACATATTAAAGCATGCCACGATTGAACTTGAAGTGGCCCAGTTCATAGAAAACATATGTACCAGATATATTCACTCACATCCATTCACTATGCACATTTATAAAATTTGGGGTTTATTGCCTACTCGTCGATATTTTGACAGTGATTCGACCAATCTGGATTTCCGTCAGACGCCTCCTAAATGTACACAATTTAGACCCATAGTCACCAATTAGCCGTAAAAGATAACACACATGTATGATGCGATTTAATTCACTTCAGGCTATGTTGTATCTGATCCCAAATTTGTATTGAAATGTACTATTTCCTCGTGTATCTTTTGTACAATCCTTTGAGATCACCAGAGGAAAACCATACTGGTAAAGTTATGTTCAGTTTCAACACTCAACGTCTTCATACGATAATAAATTTCAAAAGCAACATAACGGTTTCAAAAACATTCTTCAATTTTACCTCCCATTCATACATGAATATCATTTTGAGATTTCAATAAGGTATGATTACTTTTTCACCTTTCTCAAACAAAACAATGATCCAGTATCTGTCCAAATCTAGACTTTTCATCAACTTAACACTGATCATATCCAGTACCGAAGTTTCTTTTTTGTTCAATCTGATTTCATCATGGAGTTCAATTGGCGAAACATCACTGTTGTGACATTGGACCACTTTCGTCGATATGATATTGACGTCATTTAAATATATTTTAAGATTAAAACATGCTTCGTAATGAGTGAGATTAGCGTTTTATTTGATTGATATATAGAACAGTTTTCACTGTTTTCGACATTTTATGAAGTATGTGATGAATGAAGAGTTCTACCTAATATCAGATATACGAAATACTTACGAACAATTCATTTCACATTCGTTGCTATATGTTTTCCCGTCGTCTCCACACACGGGCAGATATATCCTGGGACAAATACACGGTGTTGGCGGGCACTCTCCATCGGACACTTTGGTCACGCCACTCCTTAGATTAAACGCAATCAATTAAAATCTAAAACACTTGATCAGTTTATCACTTATTATAATAATCAAGCATATCTTTATCATATGAAAGGAAGAACTTCTAATGAGCTTACTTTGTATTCGATGAGATTAGTATATCATTTAAAATATTATACAGTTTTCGCGGTTATTTGACTTTTCATGAAGTTTTTGATAAATGAACGGTTCTGTCTAGTATCAGACAGAACGGAACACTTACGAACACTTCATTTGGCATTCGTTGCTGTATGTTTTCCCGTCGTCTCCACACACGGGCAGGTATATCATGGTACAAATACACGGGCACTCTCCATCGGACACTTTGGTCACGCCACTCCTTGAATGTGAAATATACTAAATGAAACAAACGCGGAACTAATGTTGCCATACAGACACGACATCTGCTAACGTTTCAAACTGAGGTTTTAGTATTGAAGACAATAATGGAATTATCATTTCACGAATGAATCGTCTAGTGCTTTTGTCATATCATTTGTCTGTAATATAACATATTAAAGCATGCCACGATTGAACTTGAAGTGGCCCAGTTCATAGAAAACATATGTACCAGATATATTCACTCACATCCATTCACTATGCACATTTATAAAATTTGGGGTTTATTGCCTACTCGTCGATATTTTGACAGTGATTCGACCAATCTGGATTTCCGTCAGACGCCTCCTAAATGTACACAATTTAGACCCATAGTCACCAATTAGCCGTAAAAGATAACACACATGTATGATGCGATTTAATTCACTTCAGGCTATGTTGTATCTGATCCCAAATTTGTATTGAAATGTACTATTTCCTCGTGTATCTTTTGTACAATCCTTTGAGATCACCAGAGGAAAACCATACTGGTAAAGTTATGTTCAGTTTCAACACTCAACGTCTTCATACGATAATAAATTTCAAAAGCAACATAACGGTTTCAAAAACATTCTTCAATTTTACCTCCCATTCATACATGAATATCATTTTGAGATTTCAATAAGGTATGATTACTTTTTCACCTTTCTCAAACAAAACAATGATCCAGTATCTGTCCAAATCTAGAATTTTCATCAACTTAACACTGATCATATCCAGTACCGAAGTTTCTTTTTTGTTCAATCTGATTTCATCATGGAGTTCAATTGGCGAAACATCACTGTTGTGACATTGGACCACTTTCGTCGATATGATATTGACGTCATTTAAATATATTTTAAGATTAAAACATGCTTCGTAATGAGTGAGATTAGCGTTTTATTTGATTGATATATAGAACAGTTTTCACTGTTTTCGACATTTTATGAAGTATGTGATGAATGAAGAGTTCTACCTAATATCAGATATACGAAATACTTACGAACAATTCATTTCACATTCGTTGCTATATGTTTTCCCGTCGTCTCCACACACGGGCAGATATATCCTGGGACAAATACACGGTGTTGGCGGGCACTCTCCATCGGACACTTTGGTCACGCCACTCCTTAGATTAAACGCAATCAATTAAAATCTAAAACACTTGATCAGTTTATCACTTATTATAATAATCAAGCATATCTTTATCATATGAAAGGAAGAACTTCTAATGAGCTTACTTTGTATTCGATGAGATTAGTATATCATTTAAAATATTATACAGTTTTCGCGGTTATTTGACTTTTCATGAAGTTTTTGATAAATGAACGGTTCTGTCTAGTATCAGACAGAACGGAACACTTACGAACACTTCATTTGGCATTCGTTGCTGTATGTTTTCCCGTCGTCTCCACACACGGGCAGGTATATCATGGTACAAATACACGGGCACTCTCCATCGGACACTTTGGTCACGCCACTCCTTGAATGTGAAATATACTAAATGAAACAAACGCGGAACTAATGTTGCCATACAGACACGACATCTGCTAACGTTTCAAACTGAGGTTTTAGTATTGAAGACAATAATGGAATTATCATTTCACGAATGAATCGTCTAGTGCTTTTGTCATATCATTTGTCTGTAATATAACATATTAAAGCATGCCACGATTGAACTTAAAGTGGCCCAGTTCATAGAAAACATATGTACCAGATATATTCACTCACATCCATTCACTATGCACATTTATAAAATTTGGGGTTTATTGCCTACTCGTCGATATTTTGACAGTGATTCGACCAATCTGGATTTCCGTCAGACGCCTCCTAAATGTACACAAGTTAGACCCATAGTCACCAATTAGCCGTAAAAGATAACACACATGTATGATGCGATTTAATTCACTTCAGGCTATGTTGTATCTGATCCCAAATTTGTATTGAAATGTACTATTTCCTCGTGTATCTTTTGTACAATCCTTTGAGATCACCAGAGGAAAACCATACTGGTAAAGTTATGTTCAGTTTCAACACTCAACGTCTTCATACGATAATAAATTTCAAAAGCAACATAACGGTTTCAAAAACATTCTTCAATTTTACCTCCCATTCATACATGAATATCATTTTGAGATTTCAATAAGGTATGATTACTTTTTCACCTTTCTCAAACAAAACAATGATCCAGTATCTGTCCAAATCTAGACTTTTCATCAACTTAACACTGATCATATCCAGTACCGAAGTTTCTTTTTTGTTCAATCTGATTTCATCATGGAGTTCAATTGGCGAAACATCACTGTTGTGACATTGGACCACTTTCGTCGATATGATATTGACGTCATTTAAATATATTTTAAGATTAAAACATGCTTCGTAATGAGTGAGATTAGCGTTTTATTTGATTGATATATAGAACAGTTTTCACTGTTTTCGACATTTTATGAAGTATGTGATGAATGAAGAGTTCTACCTAATATCAGATATACGAAATACTTACGAACAATTCATTTCACATTCGTTGCTATATGTTTTCCCGTCGTCTCCACACACGGGCAGATATATCCTGGGACAAATACACGGTGTTGGCGGGCACTCTCCATCGGACACTTTGGTCACGCCACTCCTTAGATTAAACGCAATCAATTAAAATCTAAAACACTTGATCAGTTTATCACTTATTATAATAATCAAGCATATCTTTATCATATGAAAGGAAGAACTTCTAATGAGCTTACTTTGTATTCGATGAGATTAGTATATCATTTAAAATATTATACAGTTTTCGCGGTTATTTGACTTTTCATGAAGTTTTTGATAAATGAACGGTTCTGTCTAGTATCAGACAGAACGGAACACTTACGAACACTTCATTTGGCATTCGTTGCTGTATGTTTTCCCGTCGTCTCCACACACGGGCAGGTATATCATGGTACAAATACACGGGCACTCTCCATCGGACACTTTGGTCACGCCACTCCTTGAATGTGAAATATACTAAATGAAACAAACGCGGAACTAATGTTGCCATACAGACACGACATCTGCTAACGTTTCAAACTGAGGTTTTAGTATTGAAGACAATAATGGAATTATCATTTCACGAATGAATCGTCTAGTGCTTTTGTCATATCATTTGTCTGTAATATAACATATTAAAGCATGCCACGATTGAACTTAAAGTGGCCCAGTTCATAGAAAACATATGTACCAGATATATTCACTCACATCCATTCACTATGCACATTTATAAAATTTGGGGTTTATTGCCTACTCGTCGATATTTTGACAGTGATTCGACCAATCTGGATTTCCGTCAGACGCCTCCTAAATGTACACAAGTTAGACCCATAGTCACCAATTAGCCGTAAAAGATAACACACATGTATGATGCGATTTAATTCACTTCAGGCTATGTTGTATCTGATCCCAAATTTGTATTGAAATGTACTATTTCCTCGTGTATCTTTTGTACAATCCTTTGAGATCACCAGAGGAAAACCATACTGGTAAAGTTATGTTCAGTTTCAACACTCAACGTCTTCATACGATAATAAATTTCAAAAGCAACATAACGGTTTCAAAAACATTCTTCAATTTTACCTCCCATTCATACATGAATATCATTTTGAGATTTCAATAAGGTATGATTACTTTTTCACCTTTCTCAAACAAAACAATGATCCAGTATCTGTCCAAATCTAGAATTTTCATCAACTTAACACTGATCATATCCAGTACCGAAGTTTCTTTTTTGTTCAATCTGATTTCATCATGGAGTTCAATTGGCGAAACATCACTGTTGTGACATTGGACCACTTTCGTCGATATGATATTGACGTCATTTAAATATATTTTAAGATTAAAACATGCTTCGTAATGAGTGAGATTAGCGTTTTATTTGATTGATATATAGAACAGTTTTCACTGTTTTCGACATTTTATGAAGTATGTGATGAATGAAGAGTTCTACCTAATATCAGATATACGAAATACTTACGAACAATTCATTTCACATTCGTTGCTATATGTTTTCCCGTCGTCTCCACACACGGGCAGATATATCCTGGGACAAATACACGGTGTTGGCGGGCACTCTCCATCGGACACTTTGGTCACGCCACTCCTTAGATTAAACGCAATCAATTAAAATCTAAAACACTTGATCAGTTTATCACTTATTATAATAATCAAGCATATCTTTATCATATGAAAGGAAGAACTTCTAATGAGCTTACTTTGTATTCGATGAGATTAGTATATCATTTAAAATATTATACAGTTTTCGCGGTTATTTGACTTTTCATGAAGTTTTTGATAAATGAACGGTTCTGTCTAGTATCAGACAGAACGGAACACTTACGAACACTTCATTTGGCATTCGTTGCTGTATGTTTTCCCGTCGTCTCCACACACGGGCAGGTATATCATGGTACAAATACACGGGCACTCTCCATCGGACACTTTGGTCACGCCACTCCTTGAATGTGAAATATACTAAATGAAACAAACGCGGAACTAATGTTGCCATACAGACACGACATCTGCTAACGTTTCAAACTGAGGTTTTAGTATTGAAGACAATAATGGAATTATCATTTCACGAATGAATCGTCTAGTGCTTTTGTCATATCATTTGTCTGTAATATAACATATTAAAGCATGCCACGATTGAACTTAAAGTGGCCCAGTTCATAGAAAACATATGTACCAGATATATTCACTCACATCCATTCACTATGCACATTTATAAAATTTGGGGTTTATTGCCTACTCGTCGATATTTTGACAGTGATTCGACCAATCTGGATTTCCGTCAGACGCCTCCTAAATGTACACAAGTTAGACCCATAGTCACCAATTAGCCGTAAAAGATAACACACATGTATGATGCGATTTAATTCACTTCAGGCTATGTTGTATCTGATCCCAAATTTGTATTGAAATGTACTATTTCCTCGTGTATCTTTTGTACAATCCTTTGAGATCACCAGAGGAAAACCATACTGGTAAAGTTATGTTCAGTTTCAACACTCAACGTCTTCATACGATAATAAATTTCAAAAGCAACATAACGGTTTCAAAAACATTCTTCAATTTTACCTCCCATTCATACATGAATATCATTTTGAGATTTCAATAAGGTATGATTACTTTTTCACCTTTCTCAAACAAAACAATGATCCAGTATCTGTCCAAATCTAGACTTTTCATCAACTTAACACTGATCATATCCAGTACCGAAGTTTCTTTTTTGTTCAATCTGATTTCATCATGGAGTTCAATTGGCGAAACATCACTGTTGTGACATTGGACCACTTTCGTCGATATGATATTGACGTCATTTAAATATATTTTAAGATTAAAACATGCTTCGTAATGAGTGAGATTAGCGTTTTATTTGATTGATATATAGAACAGTTTTCACTGTTTTCGACATTTTATGAAGTATGTGATGAATGAAGAGTTCTACCTAATATCAGGTATACGAAATACTTACGAACAATTCATTTCACATTCGTTGCTATATGTTTTCCCGTCGTCTCCACACACGGGCAGATATATCCTGGGACAAATACACGGTGTTGGCGGGCACTCTCCATCGGACACTTTGGTCACGCCACTCCTTAGATTAAACGCAATCAATTAAAATCTAAAACACTTGATCAGTTTATCACTTATTATAATAATCAAGCATATCTTTATCATATGAAAGGAAGAACTTCTAATGAGCTTACTTTGTATTCGATGAGATTAGTATATCATTTAAAATATTATACAGTTTTCGCGGTTATTTGACTTTTCATGAAGTTTTTGATAAATGAACGGTTCTGTCTAGTATCAGACAGAACGGAACACTTACGAACACTTCATTTGGCATTCGTTGCTGTATGTTTTCCCGTCGTCTCCACACACGGGCAGGTATATCATGGTACAAATACACGGGCACTCTCCATCGGACACTTTGGTCACGCCACTCCTTGAATGTGAAATATACTAAATGAAACAAACGCGGAACTAATGTTGCCATACAGACACGACATCTGCTAACGTTTCAAACTGAGGTTTTAGTATTGAAGACAATAATGGAATTATCATTTCACGAATGAATCGTCTAGTGCTTTTGTCATATCATTTGTCTGTAATATAACATATTAAAGCATGCCACGATTGAACTTGAAGTGGCCCAGTTCATAGAAAACATATGTACCAGATATATTCACTCACATCCATTCACTATGCACATTTATAAAATTTGGGGTTTATTGCCTACTCGTCGATATTTTGACAGTGATTCGACCAATCTGGATTTCCGTCAGACGCCTCCTAAATGTACACAATTTAGACCCATAGTCACCAATTAGCCGTAAAAGATAACACACATGTATGATGCGATTTAATTCACTTCAGGCTATGTTGTATCTGATCCCAAATTTGTATTGAAATGTACTATTTCCTCGTGTATCTTTTGTACAATCCTTTGAGATCACCAGAGGAAAACCATACTGGTAAAGTTATGTTCAGTTTCAACACTCAACGTCTTCATACGATAATAAATTTCAAAAGCAACATAACGGTTTCAAAAACATTCTTCAATTTTACCTCCCATTCATACATGAATATCATTTTGAGATTTCAATAAGGTATGATTACTTTTTCACCTTTCTCAAACAAAACAATGATCCAGTATCTGTCCAAATCTAGAATTTTCATCAACTTAACACTGATCATATCCAGTACCGAAGTTTCTTTTTTGTTCAATCTGATTTCATCATGGAGTTCAATTGGCGAAACATCACTGTTGTGACATTGGACCACTTTCGTCGATATGATATTGACGTCATTTAAATATATTTTAAGATTAAAACATGCTTCGTAATGAGTGAGATTAGCGTTTTATTTGATTGATATATAGAACAGTTTTCACTGTTTTCGACATTTTATGAAGTATGTGATGAATGAAGAGTTCTACCTAATATCAGATATACGAAATACTTACGAACAATTCATTTCACATTCGTTGCTATATGTTTTCCCGTCGTCTCCACACACGGGCAGATATATCCTGGGACAAATACACGGTGTTGGCGGGCACTCTCCATCGGACACTTTGGTCACGCCACTCCTTAGATTAAACGCAATCAATTAAAATCTAAAACACTTGATCAGTTTATCACTTATTATAATAATCAAGCATATCTTTATCATATGAAAGGAAGAACTTCTAATGAGCTTACTTTGTATTCGATGAGATTAGTATATCATTTAAAATATTATACAGTTTTCGCGGTTATTTGACTTTTCATGAAGTTTTTGATAAATGAACGGTTCTGTCTAGTATCAGACAGAACGGAACACTTACGAACACTTCATTTGGCATTCGTTGCTGTATGTTTTCCCGTCGTCTCCACACACGGGCAGGTATATCATGGTACAAATACACGGGCACTCTCCATCGGACACTTTGGTCACGCCACTCCTTGAATGTGAAATATACTAAATGAAACAAACGCGGAACTAATGTTGCCATACAGACACGACATCTGCTAACGTTTCAAACTGAGGTTTTAGTATTGAAGACAATAATGGAATTATCATTTCACGAATGAATCGTCTAGTGCTTTTGTCATATCATTTGTCTGTAATATAACATATTAAAGCATGCCACGATTGAACTTAAAGTGGCCCAGTTCATAGAAAACATATGTACCAGATATATTCACTCACATCCATTCACTATGCACATTTATAAAATTTGGGGTTTATTGCCTACTCGTCGATATTTTGACAGTGATTCGACCAATCTGGATTTCCGTCAGACGCCTCCTAAATGTACACAAGTTAGACCCATAGTCACCAATTAGCCGTAAAAGATAACACACATGTATGATGCGATTTAATTCACTTCAGGCTATGTTGTATCTGATCCCAAATTTGTATTGAAATGTACTATTTCCTCGTGTATCTTTTGTACAATCCTTTGAGATCACCAGAGGAAAACCATACTGGTAAAGTTATGTTCAGTTTCAACACTCAACGTCTTCATACGATAATAAATTTCAAAAGCAACATAACGGTTTCAAAAACATTCTTCAATTTTACCTCCCATTCATACATGAATATCATTTTGAGATTTCAATAAGGTATGATTACTTTTTCACCTTTCTCAAACAAAACAATGATCCAGTATCTGTCCAAATCTAGACTTTTCATCAACTTAACACTGATCATATCCAGTACCGAAGTTTCTTTTTTGTTCAATCTGATTTCATCATGGAGTTCAATTGGCGAAACATCACTGTTGTGACATTGGACCACTTTCGTCGATATGATATTGACGTCATTTAAATATATTTTAAGATTAAAACATGCTTCGTAATGAGTGAGATTAGCGTTTTATTTGATTGATATATAGAACAGTTTTCACTGTTTTCGACATTTTATGAAGTATGTGATGAATGAAGAGTTCTACCTAATATCAGATATACGAAATACTTACGAACAATTCATTTCACATTCGTTGCTATATGTTTTCCCGTCGTCTCCACACACGGGCAGATATATCCTGGGACAAATACACGGTGTTGGCGGGCACTCTCCATCGGACACTTTGGTCACGCCACTCCTTAGATTAAACGCAATCAATTAAAATCTAAAACACTTGATCAGTTTATCACTTATTATAATAATCAAGCATATCTTTATCATATGAAAGGAAGAACTTCTAATGAGCTTACTTTGTATTCGATGAGATTAGTATATCATTTAAAATATTATACAGTTTTCGCGGTTATTTGACTTTTCATGAAGTTTTTGATAAATGAACGGTTCTGTCTAGTATCAGACAGAACGGAACACTTACGAACACTTCATTTGGCATTCGTTGCTGTATGTATTCCCGTCGTCTCCACACACGGGCAGGTATATCATGGTACAAATACACGGGCACTCTCCATCGGACACTTTGGTCACGCCACTCCTTGAATGTGAAATATACTAAATGAAACAAACGCGGAACTAATGTTGCCATACAGACACGACATCTGCTAACGTTTCAAACTGAGGTTTTAGTATTGAAGACAATAATGGAATTATCATTTCACGAATGAATCGTCTAGTGCTTTTGTCATATCATTTGTCTGTAATATAACATATTAAAGCATGCCACGATTGAACTTGAAGTGGCCCAGTTCATAGAAAACATATGTACCAGATATATTCACTCACATCCATTCACTATGCACATTTATAAAATTTGGGGTTTATTGCCTACTCGTCGATATTTTGACAGTGATTCGACCAATCTGGATTTCCGTCAGACGCCTCCTAAATGTACACAATTTAGACCCATAGTCACCAATTAGCCGTAAAAGATAACACACATGTATGATGCGATTTAATTCACTTCAGGCTATGTTGTATCTGATCCCAAATTTGTATTGAAATGTACTATTTCCTCGTGTATCTTTTGTACAATCCTTTGAGATCACCAGAGGAAAACCATACTGGTAAAGTTATGTTCAGTTTCAACACTCAACGTCTTCATACGATAATAAATTTCAAAAGCAACATAACGGTTTCAAAAACATTCTTCAATTTTACCTCCCATTCATACATGAATATCATTTTGAGATTTCAATAAGGTATGATTACTTTTTCACCTTTCTCAAACAAAACAATAATCCAGTATCTGTCCAAATCTAGAATTTTCATCAACTTAACACTGATCATATCCAGTACCGAAGTTTCTTTTTTGTTCAATCTGATTTCATCATGGAGTTCAATTGGCGAAACATCACTGTTGTGACATTGGACCACTTTCGTCGATATGATATTGACGTCATTTAAATATATTTTAAGATTAAAACATGAATCGTAATGAGTGAGATTAGCGTTTTATTTGATTGATATATAGAACAGTTTTCACTGTTCTATATATCAATCAAATAAAACGCTAATCTCACTCATTACGATGCATGTTTTAATCTTAAAATATATTTAAATGACGTCAATATCATATCGACGAAAGTGGTCCAATGTCACAACCGTGATGTTTCGCCAATTGAACTCCATGATGAAATCAGATTGAACAAAAAAGAAACTTCGGTACTGGATATGATCAGTGTTAAGTTGATGAAAATTCTAGATTTGGACAGATACTGGATCATTGTTTTGTTTGAGAAAGGTGAAAAAGTAATCATACCTTATTGAAATCTCAAAATGATATTCATGTATGAATGGGAGGTAAAATTGAAGAATGTTTTTGAAACCGTTATGTTGCTTTTGAAATTTATTATCGTATGAAGACGTTGAGTGTTGAAACTGAACATAACTTTACCAGTATGGTTTTCCTCTGGTGATCTCAAAGGATTGTACAAAAGATACACGAGGAAATAGTACATTTCAATACAAATTTGGCAATCAGATACAACATAGCCTGAAGTGAATTAAATCGCATCATACATGTGTGTATCTTTTACGGCTAATTGGTGACTATGGGTCTAACTTGTGTACATTTAGGAGGCGTCTGACGGAAATCCAGATTGGTCGAATCACTGTCAAAATATCGACGAGTAGGCAATAAACCCCAAATTTTATAAATGTGCATAGTGAATGGATGTGAGTGAAATATATCTGGTACATATGACTGGGCCACTTATAAGTTCAATCGTGGCATGCTTTAAATATGTTATATTACAGACAAATGATATGACAAAAGCACTGATTCATTCGTGAAATGATAATTCCATTATTGTCTTCAATACTAAAACCTCAGTTTGAAACGTTAGCAGATGTCGTGTCTGTATGGCAACATTAGTTCCGCGTTTGTTTCATTTAGTATATTTCACATTCAAGGAGTGGAGTGACCAAAGTGTCCGATGGAGAGTGCCCGTGTATTTGTACCATGATATACCTGCCCGTGTGTGGAGACGACGGGAAAACATACAGCAACGAATGCCAAATGAAGTGTTCGTAAGTGTTCCGTTCTGTCTGATACTAGACAGAACCGTTCATTTATCAAAAAACTTCATAAAAGTCAAATAACCGCGAAAACTGTATAATATTTTAAATGATATACTAATCTCATCGAATACAAAGTAAGCTCATTAGAAGTTCTTCCTTTCATATGATAAAGATATGCTTGATTATTATAGTAAGTGATAAACTGATCAAGTGTTTTAGATTTTAATTGATTGCGTTTAATCTAAGGAGTGGCGTGACCAAAGTGTCCGATGGAGAGTGCCCGCCAACACCGTGTATTTGTCCCAGGATATATCTGCCCGTGTGTGGAGACGACGGGAAAACATATAGCAACGAATGTGAAATGAATTGTTCGTAAGTATTTCGTATATCTGATATTAGGTAGAACTCTTCATTCATCACATACTTCATAAAATGTCGAAAACAGTGAAAACTGTTCTATATATCAATCAAATAAAACGCTAATCTCACTCATTACGAAGCATGTTTTAATCTTAAAATATATTTAAATGACGTCAATATCATATCGACGAAAGTGGTCCAATGTCACAACAGTGATGTTTCGCCAATTGAACTCCATGATGAAATCAGATTGAACAAAAAAGAAACTTCGGTACTGGATATGATCAGTGTTAAGTTGATCAAAAGTCTAGATTTGGACAGATACTGGATCATTGTTTTGTTTGAGAAAGGTGAAAAAGTAATCATACCTTATTGAAATCTCAAAATGATATTCATGTATGAATGGGAGGTAAAATTGAAGAATGTTTTTGAAACCGTTATGTTGCTTTTGAAATTTATTATCGTATGAAGACGTTGTGTACATTTTTATGGTTTTCCTCTGGTGATCTCAAAGGGCAAAAGATACACGAGGAAATAGTACATTTCAATACGGAAATCCTGAAGTGAATTAAAGATGTGTGTTATCTTTTACGGCTAATCGGTGACTATGGGTCTAACTTGTGTCATTGGTCGAATCACTGTCAAAATATCGACGAGTAGGCAATAAACCCCAAATTTTATAAATGTGCATAGTGAATGGATGTGAGTGAATATATCTGGTACATATGTTTTCTATAAACTGGGCCACTTTAAGTTCAATCGTGGCATGCTTGATTATGTTATATTACAGACAAATGATATGACAGAAGCACTAGACGATTCATTCGTGAAATGATAATTCCATTATTGTCTTCAATACTAAAACCTCAGTTTGAAACGTTAGCAGATGTCGTGTCTGTATGGCAACATTAGTTCCGCGTTTGTTTCATTTAGTATATTTCACATTCAAGGAGTGGCGTGACCAAAGTGTCCGATGGAGAGTGCCCGTGTATTTGTACCATGATATACCTGCCCGTGTGTGGAGACGACGGGAAAACATACAGCAACGAATGCCAAATGAAGTGTTCGTAAGTGTTCCGTTCTGTCTGATACTAGACAGAACCGTTCATTTATCAAAAACTTCATGAAAAGTCAAATAACCGCGAAAACTGTATAATATTTTAAATGATATACTAATCTCATCGAATACGAAGTAAGCTCATTAGAAGTTCTTCCTTTCATATGATAAAGATATGCTTGATTATTATAATAAGTGATAAACTGATCAAGTGTTTTAGATTTTAATTGATTGCGTTTAATCTAAGGAGTGGCGTGACCAAAGTGTCCGATGGAGAGTGCCCGCCAACACCGTGTATTTGTCCCAGGATATATCTGCCCGTGTGTGGAGACGACGGGAAAACATATAGCAACGAATGTGAAATGAATTGTTCGTAAGTATTTCGTATACCTGATATTAGGTAGAACTCTTCATTCATCACATACTTCATAAAATGTCGAAAAGAGTGAAAACTGTTCTATATATCAATCAAATAAAACGCTAATCTCACTCATTACGAAGCATGTTTTAATCTTAAAATATATTTAAATGACGTCAATATCATATCGACGAAAGTGGTCCAATGTCACAACAGTGATGTTTCGCCAATTGAACTCCATGATGAAATCAGATTGAACAAAAAAGAAACTTCGGTACTGGATATGATCAGTGTTAAGTTGATCAAATGTCTAGATTTGGACAAATACTGAATCATTGTATTGTTTGAGAAAGGTGAATTAGTAATCTTACCTGACGGAAAACCGATTGAACTGAATGTTTGAAAAATGTTTTTTGACATAGCTTCACCAGCATGGTTAACATCTGGTAATCTCAAAGGATTTCAGAAAAGACACACAAGGAAATAACACCGACGTGACAGAGCGAATTCCATGTTGGTCGAAATTACTGTAAATTATTTATTAGTAGGTGCACCTAGAATTCCATCCAATCCAAAATTTGATGATCATTTTGGGAAAGAAAGTACGTGGGTGTGTAGCTAACTGTCTCACAATCCAAAGAAGTTGTACAGTGGTGGAAAGTGCTCGCCTCCACCCTGTATTTGTACTAGGATATATATGTGTATAACAACGAATATAAAATTAACTCTTTTGAAGAATTTCTACGGACCCATACAAGTCAGCTGTTTATTAATGATATACTTGCTTAAATGCAGAATAATCTTGACAACCGTTTGTTCTCTCTATGACATAATGCTAATTTTTACCCAATTCGAAGTACGCTCATTAATTGAAATTAAATTCGTACTTGAAATATAAGGTAAAAATGCCAATGCCATATCGGCCTAAATTTGCTACTTAAATTTCACTGGCAGATCAATTTTGACTACAAAGAAAGTTCATTGTTGAATATAACAGTTACAGAATATGATGAATGATAAATTGAACACATATTTAGATTTTAAGTTATTACATTGGCACATGCTAGGGTTGGGGTGATGAAAGTATCCGACGGACCATGCCAAACACCACCACCACTACCTTGTCCTTGTCCCTTGGACTATCAGCCCGTGTGTGGAGATGACGGTATAACCTACAGCAATGAATGCGCAATGAAGTGTGTGTAAGTATGTCGTTTTTTCGGTGCAAAAAAAAAGCCTACCTTCCATTTCATTATGAAAGACTCACAAGGAAATAACATCTCACAATAAAATTTAGTACCTGTAAATGTGTATAATATATATCTAAATGAATAAATTGCAACACAGGTATTTATTAATCTTTCCACGGCAGTCATCTTGACAACCTTTCACACTAAGTTTTGAAACGAAGCGTGGAAGCGGGATTTACGGCATAGTACGGTCAACATAAAATGACAAAAAATATGACGATTTATTCATGAAATGATAATTACTATAATTGTCCTAAATACTCAAAATCAGTATTAATTGAATGTTTGGAAGTTAGCTGATATGACTGTATGTGAATTGAACTTTTTTAGGATTTATTCCATCTGGTATATATCACAACCGACGGGTAACGTGACCAAAGTTACAGGCGGAGCGTACCCAACACCACCGTGTAGTTTTTGTGTTATACAAGACATAATTGTTCATTATCATATACTTCCTGAAAGGTAGAGGAAACAAACAAACAAAAAATCTAATATTCACACCCAATACTTTGTGATAATGATATGACTGTATGTGAATTGAACGTTTTTTTCGGATTTATTCCATCTGGTATATATCACAACCGACGGGTAACGTGACCAAAGTTACAGGCGGAGACGAAATGATACCCAACACAAGTTTTTGTGTTATACAAGACATAATTGTTCATTATCATATACTTCCTGAAAGGTAGAGGAAACAAACAAACAAAAAAGTCTAATATTCACACCCAATACTTTGTGTAATACTTCCATATATAGTTATTTGTATTAGGACAATGCTGTAACGGCATAAATTGCCAATTGTGTAACAACACTGAATCTATATGCATCAGATAGAAATAAACGACACAGAAGGTTTTCCATTTCGTTAACGGAAAGATAATGATTATGAAACAAAATTGATCTTGTTTATATTCTAATACATAAACTTGCTTTTAATCTAAGGGATGGCGTGACGAAAATATCAGATGGAGCGTGCCCGTCACCAACAACACCATGTCCTTGTCCCTTCATCTATCAACCAGTGTGTGGAGACGACGGGAAATATAAACTGATAGATGGCTTTAAATTTAAATTGATTGCGTTAATCTGAGGATGGTTAATGACCCAAAGCTGTATGGAAAATACACCAACACCTGTTGTTCCCAGGATATGTGTGCCGGTGTGGAGACAACGAAAACATATGCAACGAATGTGAAATGGATAGCATAAGTATTCATATATTGATGTAGATTGAGCTTCTTTCATTCATACACATACTTAATAAAATGTCGAAAACAGTGAAAACTGTTCTATATCAAATCAAATGAAAACGCTAATCTCACTCATTACGATGGTGTTTTTGATGCTTAAAATATATTCAAATAACATGATGTCGTATAGAACAAAGTGGTCGCGACGTGATGTTGCGCATTGATGATGAAATCAGATTGAAACGAAAAAAAAATTTCGGTACTGGATATGATGAGTGTTAGTTGATGAAAAGTCTAGATTTGACAGTACTGGATGGTCGTTGTTTTGTTTGAGAAAGGTGAAAAATTAATGAGGATTACCTTATTGAAATCTCAAAATGATATTCATATTGAAGTGGAGGTAAAATTGAAGAATGTTTTGAAACCCGTTATGTTGTTTTGAAATTTATTTATCGTATGAAGACGTAAGTGTTGAAACTGAACATAACTTTACCGTATGGTTTTGTATAGTCAAAGGATTGTACAAAGATACGCGGGAATGAGTCAATTTCAATTCAAAATTTTGGGATGCAGATACAACATAG